GCCCAGCCAGTGTGCAAAAATGACACTAAAAGTCATTTTGGGGCCTGCGGCACTTCTCGCCCCTTTTGGGGGAAAATGAATACGAGGGTTTCGACGCGGGGAGGTCTTATAACTTTTGCCAAAAACTTATACAACGGAAAGTTCCGCATTCCCGTCGCCACCCAGCAAATTATAGGGAACATGACATGTGGAGGCCCAGCACCCGAAAAGCCACCCGCACACTTGGATACAATCCATAGCCGAGCGAATTTCAAACCCCCCGGCTCCTTTACCCGTGGTGGCCTGAAGAACACCTAAGCGCGGGACAAAACCGATAGAGTTCAGAACCCCCCCTGAGCCGAAGGGAAAACGTCTGTGGAAAACAGAGTAGAGAAAACAGAGTAGAAAACCAGTGTAACCCCGTACAAGCGTAGAAAACCAGGGTAACCCCCTACATTACAAGGGCCCTAAGGCCTGCTTGGCAATCAAAGCCAAACCTCTGATGGAATCACAATCCTCAACCACCTCCGCTGCTGCCTTGCCCAGCTTTCTGCGGAAGCGCCGGAATGTGGCATATACCGTTTTGCAAGGATAGCTTCTGATCAGTAGTTCCCTTTTCACTGCTAGTGAAGCCTCTTGATGGCACGTCGATGCCTCCACCAATCCGTCTATAGGCGAAATACCCGGTGCAGAGTGCTCAGAATAGCTTCCACTTTAGCCAGCTTGCTAGAGCAGGAAGCGAAGTCCTGAAAACTGCCAAACACCAAACGACCAGAATCCCAAATGTCAACAGAATTCTTGACAACAGCAACCGTCTTCAGCTGAACCCCATGTCGAAATACGTTAATTCCTACAAATACCCAGCGATCCCTGGCGAGGGGATGGCCCTGCTGACAGTCTCCCAAACAGGATTTCTTTAGACGCTCCTTAGAAAATAATAACATCATGCTTCCTCAGGTCCGTCTCTACTCGTAAAGGTCCTCTAAGAAGTGTCTAAAGAGATCTTCATTGGGAGACTGTCAGCAGGGGAATCGCCTCTGCGGGGGTACTCTTTTCCCCCTGCCTATACCTGGAACAATCTGGCTATCTGTCCCTTCGGCCTGTGGGACCAGGCCATCAGCTTGATCCCACAGGCTTTTTAATATTTCATCGAGTACTGTGGTCGGGACCGGTTGAGGAATAGTCCAGTCAGTCCACAAGGCGTATACCCCAACATGCAGTCTGTTTTCCAATTCGTTCTTGATTGTGAGTTCTTAGAGTGTACTGTGTGAGTCCTTGGTGCGTGCTGTGTGCTGTCGCCTCAATGCTTGTCAGCCTGTCAGCTCCACCTCCATCTCCACCTTTTTCCTCATCCTTCATCTCCACTGTAGCGGGATTTGCTAGCCTGGAAATCCTGCTTCACAGGTATATCAGAGCAGGAACTCTCCCCGCTCCCGCCTGTCCCACCCTAGCGGACACACCACTGCAGCAACGAGTAGCACAGTGGAGTACCGATGAGCACACGGCCTTTGCCGCCTTTGCTGCCCTTCCCCCCCCACCCGCTCCAAACATTTCGACGTCTCCGCCTGTCCCTGCCCCAGAACCAGGCCACCTGCCATGCTGCAGGCAGACGGCTCCTGCCTGCCCCTACCCTGCAAGCCGCCACCACTGCCCACCAGTGCCCACTCCCACATCTCCCCGCCTACCGCTCAGTGCTAGCAGTCCCTGCCAGTGCCAGTGGAGTGGCATACCCCTGATGGTGGTGCCAATCCTGCCGGGCGCCTTTTCAACCCCGACTTCCCGCGATCAGGCCGATCCGATGGGTGCCATCTGCAGCGCTGATGAGGTGGAGCAGCGGGGTAAAGCAAAAAAAAAAGAATGAACAGGAAGACCTCGCCATATGCCAAGCTATCCTGCATCCCGCGACCAAGGCAAAAGCTGCCACCCACTGGCGGTCTGTGCCTGCGCCCGCCGGCTCCCTCGTGCTATGAGTGGCCAGTGCACTAACATACTGGCCACAGTGCATGTACGTACATGTGTGGCAACTTTTAACTCCAACACTTGCCACATCACTTATTTACTGTCACCCCCCACCCCGGGCACCCCCTTGGCGAAGCAGCAGCCAGTGCGGCAGCAGCAGCCGTGTCGCTTCGTTTTTCTTTGGCATGGAGGGCACGTTTAGGCTCAGCATCCATAGCTGGGCCAAGTACTGGTGGTTTAAACTGCTATTCGCCCCCCTACCCCCTCCCCACCCCCCCACCCTCCATGCACATAACTGTTGGACGTCATGTGGTGGCCAACGGATTATTTTGAAGAACACCCTCATTAGGGGGCTGCTCTCCATGAAGTATAGAGGTGGCTGATCAAGATCTCACCCACTCACCTGCATCCTCTTGTAGATCTGATCATTCTTGGTCAGATCTGACCACCCAAACGGCAGTTCGGTGGCATCATTGCTGCCCACCTCAAGCCCCCGTAGTTTAACCGCCCTGAAGGGGCTGAAGAAGGCTAAGATCACTAGGATCTTGGTAGATTGGATGCTCTTGGATGCCCAAGAACTTGGTACGGCTGTTCTCTCCCACTAATAACTTTTCCCTCACCTTTCTTCCCCTTCTACCTCCTTTCCCCCCCATCTTTTCCCGTCCTAGCACTAATCTCTCTTTTCTCCCTTTTCTCATCTTCTACTACATTTCTCTCCACTCTCCTTCCCCAAACTGATCTTCCGCCATCCCCCCTTACCTCTTTTTTTTTTTTTTTTTTTTTTTTTTTTTTTTTTGAAAACACAGTCCCTCCAGTGCTAGCGGTGCTGGTGAGAGCAGACATCGCTAGCACCCGGGGAAAGGCTCCATCTATTGGTGGGGAGCGTCACCTGCTGGAAAGCGGGTCCAGCGTCCCTTACACAGTTGATACAGAATGATATATAGAAGGGAGATTGGATGTTGTTTGGAGGGTGCCTGCCAGCATTGATTGCCCTGGAGACCAGAGGATTGACTGAGCAGGTATGAACGTGACCCGAAATGGGAACGAAAACTGATAGTCCCCATCTCCCTTTCCGACGCTGTGCCTAGACAGGTTCCAGGAGGAGCCACTGGGGGGCACCAGTGGGGAGTCCTTCCTTCTCCCTGCCCATCCCCCAAAGGGACCTACCTCACTGCCTCAGAATCGGTGAGACGGAGAATTGGAACATTGCCTAGTGTAACTATAACTACTGGAAAGCCTAGACGAAGGTGAAAATAAAATCGGACTGAGACTGAGTGAGACAGACTACATCGGACTACCCAGGCTAAACTGGGAAAGCAGACAACAACCCAGTCCGACTGAAACAGAGACTAAAAAGCTTAACCAGAACAGAGCCAGAACGAGCAAAACAGATAAACTCAGACGAGAAAAGGCAGACTAAAAAATAGACTTTTTGATTGCCCTGGAGCCCAGGGGATGACTAAGCAGAAACTGTGTAACATCCAGTACGGTAGTCGTTGTGTAATCCTGTGGGGCAGCCTATTTCTTATTGTATCTCTTCACCCGTATAATGGGGCGTCAGATAGACCACTAAGGACTGATACTAGGGGCTGCCACTCTACCCGACACCTGCTCCTTCTGCTTCCTGATGCTGACCTCAGAGAGAAGGAACCACATTAAGAGATGGGAAGAGATAAAAAGGAACAAACTTGTTTCAAAAGGACTGATATGGCAGGGCTGATTGAAGACCAGGTTGCCTCTGAAGGTGAGCAAAGAACAGAGGCATACCCCCAGAGACTGTGGGCGGGGGGAAAGGAAGAGAAGGCAGAAATGACTGAAGACCAGGTTGCCTCTTGAGGTGAGCAGAGAACAGACAGGGTTTACAGGCATATCTGTGACGAACTACTTCCCGAACCCGTGCTATCTTTCGTACCCTTTTTTTGTTTGTATCATACCAACCCCATAAAAACCCCGTTTCGATTTCTTGATTTCGGGTGCCGCATTTTTGGCCCCCATCTTCTGGAAGCTTTTTCGATTCCCGGGTTCTGCTTTTCCTTTTTGCAATTCGGGAAATACATAGGAAATTACGTGCACCTTAGCGAGCGCACTGGGAATTGGGTCCGGCAGTTGGGAATTCCGGGATAAGCGGAACTTCGACGTATCCTTTTTGTGTGTGAATGTTCTTGGTCGCGTTGGGGAAAACTCTCRGAATTTTGTGCGAATACGAATAGGTGTAGGATTTTATTTTCCCGCGTCSCTTTTTCGCGCGCGGATATGGTGATTTCAATTTTGAATTAGGACAGACGCAAGCTGTAACTGTTTTGGTGCCTTTTTCTCTTTTTSTTGATGGCGCCGCGCATGCAAAAGCTTTCTCCTCTCTGTCCCCCKCATCGCTCCCTCCCGCGCTCCCTTTCCCTTCTCCCTCCTCTTTCTCTCTCCTCGTAACTGTTTTTYTCTCTCTCTCCCTCTCCCGCTCTGCTTTTTGCGCGTCCATTTCCCTTTCTTGATCATCTGAATCTTGGACCCGTCTTGCRCCACTTCTCKCGCCTTTTCTCTTCTCACCCTCTSAGTCCAGCGCACGACGCCCGGTCGATCCTTCGATAACTCCCGCTCACCAATCAGRTGCGTGGATCAATAGGGTCTTCCCATTGCGCGACGAATCTGATTGGTTGAACCTTGAGTTTCGAAGGATCAACATGGCTTCCACGGAGCACTCTTCTCAAAGTCTTCTCCTCCTGCTTCTCTTCATACACCTCAGCCTTCCSTTCGCTTTCTCCTCCTTCTGTCTCCCTTGTCGCAACTATAAAATCCGCAAGCGCGTCCGCAAATCYCTCTTACTTYCTCRACTCCCCAACCAGCTTTTGGGAAGCAGTGGCTAGGCRRAGTGTTTAGTGCAAGTCGGAAAGTCCTGTCRGGCTGACGATAGGCTGGCCGGTTGCGCGCTGGATTGCCACGACGAACTGTGGGATCTGGGCGGACCGCGTCGAGGTTACGTCGGCGGGGTGACGATCGCAGTGGTGGGAGGTAGCACGCGACGGCCGGACCGTCGGTGCGGGTATGAGGATCGATCGATTGGAGTTGAGTGAGTGATTGGCCCGGGGCCATATTGGAATTAACGGCGAATGCGCCTTTGTTGTTGCCGATCTTTATCTCTGGTGTAAGTGTACGGCGGCAACGCCGAACTTCCTCTTTTCGGATCTCGTCATCTTCTATCTCGACATTCCTTCCTTGTCTCCCTCTCTCTCCTCTATCTTTGAAAGATGATGTGTCTCGATGTTTGTCTCTCTCTTGGATGAGAATAAATCGGTGCGCTTTTTTGTGTGAAAGAACTTCTTCCGGAACTCTTCCATTAGTTTTCTGGGTAATCCCCAGATGTCGAGGAATTGATCCTCTTGTCTTGTGAACGGTGGACGCGTGTGTACAATTCCCTCGGTTGATTTATGACTTGTATACCCTTGTCATTTTCGCACCTTCCACAGTGAATATATGTATGGAGATGCGTGTCTTTTTGCATTGATTAGACGATCGACGTCGGGATTTTGTTCGAGAATGCAAGAGTGTTTAGATCTGTAGTTTCGAATGCACTGCGCATGCCATCTGCCTTATGCTGCACGACATCAGCAGTCGAGCCACAGGGCGGCCTAGTGAAACAAGGCGACTGGGATCAACGTCGTGTTGGCTCACTAAACCTGAGTCGCGGGTCGGTCCCTTAGTTACATGCATGATCAAGCTGATGAGTGTCTTCTTTCTCTCTCTCTCTCTCGTGTCGAAAAGGATTGATTGGGGGTTGCGCGAGTGTTTTCTTTTCTTGATGACGTCTCGAGATTTTTGCGGTTGATTGATATGTGGACTGACAAGCACTCTTCGATCGGGCGCCAGCCTCCCGTATCTCCCGTGTCCACACGACCTTTTTCCTATAACGAGGAAATAACACGTGTATGCGAGTGGGATATACGAGAAGTTGTCGCTCGAATCCGCGGACAATATTACTTCCCTCCCGAGAATCGTTGCTCTGGGTTTGTGGATGTCGAGTTTGTCATTATTGACACGCACTTTCCACCCTACTCAAGTTTGCTCCCGTTTAACGAGCTGATCGTCATTCCGTGGACGGTAGTGGCACCCGATTGACTTCGAACCCTGTGCACGGAGTGCTAGCGTTTCGATCGCTGTGAAGCAAAGGGCTTCCACTACCGAATATGGAGTGAAGACGAGCATAAGGAAAGAGCCACGCGGCTGAGACCATCCACGTCAGACTCAGAATTGACCAGCGAACGACGTCGGGATTTGATACGAAAACGAGACACGCGAAGCGTGCCAAAGCCCTTTCGCTCTAAACGACGGGCCGTAGCAAGGTGGGAAGCTCGACAATACTTTTTGGATTGAATTGGGATTTTTCTTTTTTCGCGCCGTGCCCGCGCGCGCATTTCGCGACGCGCGAAAACAACAGACTTACTTCCTTGGACCAACACGGAGGATTTCAGTTCCATCTGTGTCCCGACACTCAATTTCCAAAAGTCCTTGGCACACCCCATCTTGCTGTTTTTTTCTGGGCCTCTTTCCACACATCTAGCACTCCGAACGAAAGACAGCACGGGGCGTGAGGTTGGTATCGGAGCCGACACGTGTTGGTTCGATGATAGTAAAGTCGAACTGGCGAGAGGTAGGAGAAGCCCTGAACGAGCTCGTCGGGATCGCCCAGTGACCAGATCTCGGTCTCGTACGGTTGCACCCGCAATACCAATGGTGGACGGTACTAGAGTGATCGTTAGCATTCCTGCCCCCTTCCCCTTCTTCCCTAACCATACCCATCCCGAGGCTTGGCTCGAAGCCGTCGAAGCTCAAAACTACAGAGCAGCCGATCTTCCCCGCGTTCTGACATTGCTACTCCGCAATACGTCGCATGATTGGTTTAGAAAACATACGTGGGTAGATTGGAATACTTTTAAACAAGCCTTCTTGGCTCGATTTGATACGGTCAGTGAAGATGCCGCCTGGTACGTGCTCAAAACTTGGCCACAAGGACCAGGGGAATTGTTGCCCGATTTCGTGGATCGATTTCAAACCACGTTGGACAAATCTGGGCGAGACGAGAAATCCGCTCGAGCTCTGTTCATCGATCAGCTACGAAGTCCGACGTTGAAAGAGAAACTGCAGAAAAAGGTCCCGCCGAAGACACACCAGCTATCTGCTATCATCTCTAAAGCATTGGAACTGGACCTGGCTGATACAAAAAAATATAGCAGCCAGGGAGACGAAGATATTACAGATACCATACGGGATGTAGCGGCAAAAAGGCGATCATGGCTGCAGGCGGTAGAACGGTTTTATCCTCGCCTCGACCATGACCTTCCCGATGGGATTGCTTCCGATATCCTGCCCGTCTCTTCTCCCTCTCCCCCTGTGAATCAACCGTTAGCGGCAGTTAAGAGCAGAGTCTCCCATGAACCCCCCTCGCCGGCCGTAACCAACTTACATCTCGCCCAAATGATCCATACGGCCACTACCAAACAGTCCGAAATGGATGAGCAACTTGATTGAATTGCAGGCCGCTCACATGGAGCGGATGAAACAGATAATGAGCAGGCTAATCAAGCCTAACCCGGCCCCTGGTCGGCCTGCCCCTGCGTCATTTCCGCTCTTGCCTGCCCCGCCTGCAGCAGGGTACGCACTTCAGTTCCCTCACCCAGCTAATCCAGCTGTAAAGATCGAGTGTTTTAACTGCAAACAGCCAGGACATTTCGCCGGAGACTGTCCGCAGCCAAAGCGTAATCAGCCCCCACCTGTTGCGGCCCCTGTCGCCCTGAATCAAGGACGAGTCACCGCACTGATGGATACGGCCCAAGGAGGAGAGCTCGTGACCTATGCCCCAGAACAGTCTTCCCCCTCGATGGCAACGGCGTCGACATCGGAAGCTCCTTTATCTGACGCTGCTGACGTGGTCGATCCACTTGAGTATCTCCATCTCGCAGGTAGGATCGGAGCGATCCGATCGGCCCCTGATGATCTCGAATGGGTCGATCGCAAATCCAATCCTAGTCCACAATTTCGGACAGGAGAACTCGATGTGTTACAAGCGCTCAAGCAATTGGATATCCGTGTTCCAATCCCGGTGGGGCATCTACTCACCATATCTGAAGTGACAAATGATAAAGAGCGCTTCACTTATCAGCGCATACAACGAATGTTGAAAAAGAAGGAAGGAGGCGAGGAAGTTGCACCCCCCAAACCTGACACAGGGGAACCTGAACCCGAAACTGCACGTATAGCAGCGATCTCTTTAGTCGAGAAGGATCACTTCGTACGAGCCCGACCTGTGTTATGGAAAAGCGCGGAATGCGATTGTGAAGTTTGGGGCAAACCGTTTAACGCCCTCTTTGATACAGGGTCGTCCGCAGTAGCCATATTATTAGAAACCGTCCGGAAGACGGGACGACTCGGATCCATTCTCCCTCAATCTGGCAAAGACCATTATGTCTCTGCCGACAAGGACGCAATGAACATCGTGGGCATTATTGAGAATGTGGCTGTAAAGGTCGGACGCGTACATGTCCTTGTTAACGCACTAGTAATAGATGTGCGCTCCTATTCTATGTTGTTGGGACTACCTTGGGCGATGGCGGTAGAGACCCGTCTTTATTTCGATTCAAAGCAACTGGTGCTCACGCAAACTCGGGGAAAGCCTCAAACTGGCCCCTTGCAAATTTCCACCCGAGCAGTAAAACGAACTCCTGACTCGGCCCGAATAGGGATGATTCGACGCCTTGATCCCGAGGAGTACTCTTCCTCGGGCATCGGTAGCGGAATCGGGGAACAGGAATACGAAGAAGAACTGCCTAGTGAGGATGAATGGAAGCACCTGGTCGAGCTCTTCGAGCATGAAATTCCCGAAGAATTTCGAGTGCGCCCCGACACTGCCCGAAGCTTCCACGTGGATTCAGGAGATAGCACGCTCGCGCCTCCGAAAACCCAGGTCAGTCCTTCAGTCCTCCTCGGGGAACCCATATTACAAGTGTCCGACCTGGCCGATGATTTGGAACCCCCTTGTACCTTGTATGAGGTAGCACTTTCTTTGGGAACGCGTTATCAACAAACGGAACAGTATCTAGACGTTATTGTCTTCCCGCGCAGGTCGTTACTAACGATAGAGGCGACCATCGCTTTGATTAAACAGGAAGCGGAAGCTCCGGTAAATGACGTACCTGACCTAATGTAGGAGATGACGGATCTAACAGGACTGACGGTGGAGCAGACTTCGGCCGACTCAGAAACTGACGCCGAAACTAAAGAAACCAAAATGATAAGTCCCGCTGAATCACAGATGATTGCGACTGTCTTCTCTGTTCGCACTAGTAGTTCTGTCTTTTCGAGTGTCTACAATCGACGGGAGCGGCCGGTTGATTGGATCGACATACCCCTTAAGATTTCTGGGGAATCGACGATCACCCTACCGAACCACGTCCCCACGGAAATTCGAAAGTCGTTAATCAATGTTTTGAACGGTTATGCAGAAGTGTTGAGCGCGCATTATAACGATATTGGCTTAACAAACGTGATCGAGCATGCCATTCTCACGGGAGATCATCCGCCCATTAGCTGCGCTCCTTATCGATATTCGCCAGCTCAAAGAGCGGCCGCTTTTCAGCAGATTAAAGAGTTCGAAGCTAATGGATGGATCGAACCCGCTATAGGTCAATGGTCTTTTCCCGTAGTAATCGTGCCTAAAAAGACCGGAGGGATTCGCATTTGCATTGATTATCGAAAATTGAACGATATCACGATCAAAGATGTGTACCCTCTCCCCCGGATTGATGAGTTGTTGGATGCGATTGGGAGTGCTCGATTTTTTAGTAAGTTTGATGTTTTCCATGAGTTCCATCAACTTCTTGACCGAGAAGAAGATCGTCCGAAAATGACGTTTGTGCTTTTCGAGGGTACGTGGCAGTGGATTCGATGTCCAATGGGTATCTGCAACGCCCCCGCGACCTTTCAGCGAGCCATGAATATGGCTTTCCAGAATTTCGTGTGGAAGACTCGTTTGACGCAGAGCATCATCAATTACCGCGTGATATTGTACATGGATGACATTCTGGTGTACTCAAGTTCCTACGAGGGACACCTGCAGCACATCGAATGGGCTCTGCATGCGTTGCGAGATGCGGGCTTCAAGGTGGCGCTTGAGAAGTGTCAATTTTTCCTTACCACCATTTCCTTCTTAGGACACATGGTAACAGACCAAGGGCTCCAACCACAGCCGCAGAAGGTGGCAGCTGTCAGAGATGCGCCGGTGCCTATGACTATCACGCAAGTTCGCGCCTTTTTGGGCCTGGCCTCGTACTACCGACGATTTATCAAGGGCTTTGCGGCGATTGCGGGACCCCTCACAAATCAGCTGCGCAAAGATCAGCCGTTGATCTGGACGTCGGAGTGTGATCAGGCGTTTTCGAAACTGAAGGCCGCTCTCATTTCGGCTCCGGTCCTTATAAGGCCGGATCCCGAAAAGCCTTTTGTTCTCATCACTGACTCGCAGCCAGAGGCGATTTTGGCGATCCTTGCCCAGGTGGGACCAAGTGGACTCGAGAGTGTAGTAGAGTATGCGTCCAAGTCGGTGCCCGCCTGGAAGCGCAACTACGCCGCTCCAACGGGAGAATGCTACGCGGCCCTATGGGGAATCAATCACTTTTGCGCTTACCTGTACGGGCGAGAGTTCACCTTGGTAACCGATCATGAGCCCCTGTTGGCTCTGAAGAAATCGAAGGATTACTCGGGCATGATCGGGCGATGGGCGACGGTACTGCAGAACATGGACTTTGACATTCGTCATCGAAAGCATGAGAGACACGGGAATGCGGACAGACTGACACAACTGCATCGACCTGAGAAAGTTCCGAAGAGTGAGGAGGTGATTCCGTGGAACGAACCCGAACAGGAGATTGGACCTCGGTACGGCCAAGTGGAGATCTTATCGAAGCAGTAAGTGACACAAGGACTAATTTGTCTGTTCTACCCTCTCTGGAATTCCGTCCCATCTCTCCTCCTCTGTCATTATGACTACCCCGCCTGCCTCCGCAACCCCTTCTTCTCCTACTAATTCTGCCCCTCTCACTTCCTCATCTTTCTTTGCCACCCTCCCCGATAAATTCTGCTATTTTTGCACGTGTATTGTCCGGGTTTATGGGGTCGACTGTCATCCTTTCGAAACCAGGTTTGTCGATTGGGTAGAATGTGCCACGTGTGTCAATCGTGCGCACGGGGCCTGTGTTCGATATCGGACGAGTAGCAAGGAATGGAGGTGCCCCCTGTGTAGAACGAATAAACTCCCCACGGAGGTTCGATTCGAGACCACCCGTACGGATGGCCCTGAATACGACGAAAAATACCGACGAGCGGAGGTTTGGATGGATAAAATTTTATTAGCGAAATTAGCGGGATTATCATTGGGGCACCTCACCAAACACAACAGACGTAGGGCAACCGAGAGATCTCGGGACTATCGATGGATCAACGGTCATTTGGAAAAGCGTAAAACTGACGGATCGGGTTCGTGGTTGACGGTTCCCCATCCATTCCAGAGATATGATTGGRTCCCATCTGCTCACGAAGAACAGGCCGCTCATTTCGCGATACGTGTCACGGAGGCAACTGTAGACCAGAACCGATGGTTCTGATCCAATGTACGAGATGATGTCAAATATATTGTCGTCAACTGTCTGGTCTGTGCCTCTGATCGCGCCCCAATACGGGGACCAAACACGATAGTACCAACGGAAGTAGAGCGTCCTTTTTAGCGAGTCAGTGTGGACACGACAGATATCGACGTGCCACCTGGCCCAAACCGCTGCGAATATTCTATCCTGTTAGTATTAATAGACCATTTTTCCAAGTACATCGAAGTCTATCCCTGTAAGACCCGAAAGGCCGCAGAAATAGCCACGTCCATCGAACGGTTTTTCTATACCCATCTAGATACGGAAGAAATTCTAACCGACAATGAGTCTGAATTCAAGGGTGAGGTAGAAGAACTGCTTGCGCGAAGGGGCGTCACGCTCCGACATACGGCACCCCACGTATCCCAGTTAAACGGGTTGGCCGAAAATGCCAACCGTATGATTAAAACCGCCCTTCGCAGGAACTTAGCAGCACACGACACGCGTTCGTGGCCCGAGATCGTATATCAGATCGTCGGGATCCACCGGGCCACTCCTCACGAATCCACGGGGTTTACCCCTTTTCAGCTTCGAACTAATAGCCTCCCCTGTGTCGACTACCGGGGTAACTCAAAAATTGCCGAAGCAGGGGGTAGAGACACGTGTGCAGCCCTCAAGGTCAAGGCCAAAAGGTACACCGAATTAATGGAACGGGCCGTCCCGAAGCTAGCCCGAAAAAGAGAAAGGATGACCGAAGTGGCCCACGGTAGACAGGTCCGTAGCTACGAGGCTCGGAATGGAAATGCTGGGCCCCAGCACCAATATAAATTAGGGGACCTAGTGCAGGTACGTAAATGTGCACGCGACCGAAAACTCGCTCCCAAGTTTTCAGGCTGTTTTTGCGGTGTCAAGCTCAGACCCAACGGCGCCAACACGGTGCGCATCGCGCCTGAGGCTAGTGCCAGCCATAGCTCTATCCCCATCGTCCGGCATACCTCCTACCTCCGTCTTCTTCCTCCTTCTGATCTTCCTCCCTCTTCTTCCTCGGAAAGCGAGGAGAACGACGACGAGCTAACTCTCTCTCTGCTCTCTCCCTCCTCTCCTTCGTCCTCCTCTCCGACCTCGCCATGAGTTTCATCACGGAGCGGGCTCTTGACGAACAGTTGTTGCAGCCACGTGGCCACATCTGAGAGATTCGGCAAGTTTGTCACCCTCGGCTCAATACGGATCTTCGCCGTTTGGCGCAATTCTTCTGCGACGTGGGTGTGTGTGCCGCCGCCGCGTTTCCAATCATAGGGAGTCCTTACGCAGTAGTATTTGCGGAGGTAATCGCAGTTCATCGGCGAGCGGCTCCTAGAACGAGCCACGTCACCACGGTTGCGGCGTTCAGTGGCGACATCGGCTCGGTCAATCCGCAGTGGCATACCGCGATTTTGACTTCGCTGCGCGAGTGGACGGAGCAGGTGTCCAACGTGTGGCAGCACGTTCTCGCCCGACCTGGGCACAACCTCATCCCGACCTTTGCACCGGATCTTGGCGACATCCGCCGTTCTCCGCGCGAGCGGCCTGTTGCGATCCCCACCCTCGTCCCCTTCCCAAGTCCCCAATGAACCACGTCGATCCTCTCGCTCCTCTCTCTATCTTCGGTCTCCCCTCTCTTTTTTCCACCTTCTGGCAGTCCGATCTTCATCCTTCTCTTTCCTTCTCGTTAGATCCTTTTTCAGTCCCGCTTATCAATCCTGGGCATTGGCGGCTCTGGCGCGAAACTTTCGACGAGTTGTCCTTTTGCTTGGCCCGAGTACAGGTAACGTGGACGCGAACCAGCGAGCATCCTGCGTGGATCGAGAATTTGGAGCTGCTGATCATACAGGCTTGGAGGACTAACGTGGAGGGCGATCTTCTTGGCTTTCTCTTTGGATAGGTACAGCCTGGTCGCCGCTAACTGATTGCGCAAGAGCTCATCGCACCGATCGTGCAATTAGCGGATGATCTCTCGCCCAACATCTATTCGCAAAGCGACGACAGTCCTGCTCCATACGTTCTCGAGCGGTCATTGGATCCGTACCTTCAGTGGGCTGCATGCTTGGAGGATCCCAGGTTCGAAGAAATGCTGCCATCACGCCAGGAGTATCTGAAGCCCTACGACATCATCCCTCACGCCTTTTATCCGAAGGCGGAGGAAGCGGTGATCGACGACGAAGAAGAAAACGACGACGAGGAAACATCGGAGGAGGGAAGCTATAGCGAATATAGCGAGGGTGAGCTGAGTGAAGAAGAAGAGGGAGAAGAAGGAACCGAGTCTGAGTGGGAAGCTTTGCAAGAGGAAGCGGCGCGCACGGGCACGGAGGCGGAAGATCTGGAAGCAGCGCGAAAGCGCGAAGAAATTGCCACCGGAAAACGCCTGCTGGAGTTCGCCAGCGGAGCCAGCTTGCGCATCGGTAACGATCCGACAAGGGATAAGGAGCCGCAGAAGCCCGAAGATGGCGACCCAGCTGCCGCCACCTCAAGCGCCGCGCGACGGAGACGGAGCCGAACCCCCTCCTCCTCCAGCCCCACCCGTCCCCCAGTTCGCCCACGTACCGATGCGGGCGATAGGCCTTCGTCCTCAGACATTGTCCCACCGTCCCCTTGATTTTCTCACCCTCGAGCAGATCCGCACCCCCGTCACCTTCCCCCTCCATCGCTTCCTTCCCCATCTCTTCCGCGACTTCTACTCTACCCGCCTACTCGCTACCGTTTACCCCCACGCATCCCTTCAGCCCGCTGCCCCCACGTCCTGCTGGCATATCCTCTTGTTCAGCGCTGCATGGGAGCGATGCAACGTGGTAGAAGTTTTCTGCGTAGCCACGGGGACAATCCCCGCCTGCCGCCACTACGAGTTCTTTCGAGCGGCGCTTCTCCGCAGCCTCTCATCCTTCTATCGCGACTACCTCGCTTCCCTCCCTCGCAGAGGCGATCACTTCCCTCGCTTCCACCGGATCATCCGATATGAGGAGCTTCCGGTGACGGTAGAAGGGATGAATCGTTACCTACCCCCACTTCCTCCCCGTCGTCCCCGTGAGATCCCCTCCATGTACCGCCTCTATTGGCCCATTCCAACTAGGAGATAGATCCCGATCGCATAACTATTCCCCCCCCTCCCTTCCACTCTTCATCCAATCGACAGGGGAAAACGACACGAATCAGTAAACTTCGCGAAGATCACGCAAGTGACAATAACGTCAACCTACGCTCTGATTCGACAGACAGCGATAAACTGGGTTGCAGAGCGCACGGTGGACGATGGTGGCGTCACCTGGATGACCATCGATGATTCCAGCAGCATGAGCCAACAGAAGATTGCAATTGAAGTTGGCGTCAACATGGACTCTGGCCGGATCGTTTGTTAATACGCTTGGTTCCTCATGCACCACTCTGTTCTCCCCCTTTCTCTCTCCTTCTCCGCCATGACATGCAATCAGGAGATCGCATAATTTTGGAACCCCCTGCGCGTCACATATGTGACGAACTACTTCCCGAACCCGTGCTATGTTTTGTACCCTTTTTTTGTTTGTATCATACCAACCCCATAAAAACCCCGTTTCGTTTTCTTGATTTCGGGTGCTGCATTTTTGGCCCCCATCTTCTGGAAGCTTTTTCGATTCCCGGGTTCTGCTTTTCCTTTTTGCAATTCGGGAAATACATAGGAAATTACGTGCACCTTAGCGAGCGCACTGGGAATTGGGTCCGGCAGTTGGGAATTCCGGGATAAGCGGAACTTCGACGTGTCCTTTTTGTGTGTGAATGTTCTTGGTCGCGTTGGGGAAAACTCTCAGAATTTTGTGCGAATACGAATAGGTGTAGGATTTTATTTTCCCGCGTCGCTTTTTCGCGCGTGGATATGGTGATTTCAATTTTGAATTAGGACAGACGCAAGCTGTAACTGTTTTGGTGCCTTTTTCTCTTTTTGTTGATGGCGCCTCGCATGCAAAAGCTTTCTCCTCTCTGTCCCCCTCATCGCTCCCTCCCGCGCTCCCTTTCCCTTCTCCCTCCTCTTTCTCTCTCCTCGTAACTGTTTTTTTCTCTCTCTCCCTCTCCCGCTCTGCTTTTTGCGCGTCCATTTCCCTTTCTTGATCATCTGAATCTTGGACCCGTCTTGCACCACTTCTCTCGCCTTTTCTCTTCTCACCCTCTCAGTCCAGCGCACGACGCCCGGTCGATCCTTCGATAACTCCCGCTCACCAATCAGATGCGTGGATCAATAGGGTCTTCCCATTGCGCGACGAATCTGATTGGTTGAACCTTGAGTTTCGAAGGATCAACATGGCTTCCACGGAGCACTCTTCTCAAAGTCTTCTCCTCCTGCTTCTCTTCATACACCTCAGCCTTCCSTTCGCTTTCTCCTCCTTCTGTCTCCCTTGTCGCAACTATAAAATCCGCAAGCGCGTCCGCAAATCYCTCTTACTTYCTCRACTCCCCAACCAGCTTTTGGGAAGCAGTGGCTAGGCRRAGTGTTTAGTGCAAGTCGGAAAGTCCTGTCAGGCTGACGATAGGCTGGCCGGTTGCGCGCTGGATTGCCACGACGAACTGTGGGATCTGGGCGGACCGCGTCGAGGTTACGTCGGCGGGGTGACGATCGCAGTGGTGGGAGGTAGCACGCGACGGCCGGGACCGTCGGTGCGGGTATGAGGATCGATCGATTGGAGTTGAGTGAGTGATTGGCCCGGGGCCATATTGGAATTAACGGCGAATGCGCCTTTGTTGTTGCAGATCTTTATGTCTGGTGTAAGTGTACAGCGGCAACGCCGAACTTCCTTTTTTCGGATCTTGTCATCTTCTATCTCGACATTCCTTCCTTGTCTCCCTCTCTCTCCTCTATCTTTGAAAGATGATGTGTCTCGGTGTTTGTTTCTCTCTTGGATGGGAATAAATGGGTGCACTGTTTTGTGTGAAAGAACTTCTTCCGGAACTCTTCCATGAGTTTCCTGGGTAATCCCCAGATGTCGAGGAATTGATCCTCTTGTCTTGTGAATGGTGGATGCGTGTGTAAAATTCCCTCGGTTGATTTCTGACTTGTATACCCGTGTCATTTTCGCACCTTCCACAGTGAATGTATGTATGAAGATGCGTAATTTTTTGCGTTGATTAGACGATCGACGTCAGGATTTTGTTCGAGAATGCAAGAGTGTTTAGATCTGTAGTTTCGAATGCACTGCGGATGTCATCTGGCTTATGCTGCACGACATCAGCAGCCGAGCCACAGGGCGGCCTCGAGAAACAAGGCGCCTGGGATCAACGTCGTGTTGGCTCACTAAACCTGAGTCGCGGGTCGGTCCCTTAGTTACATGCATGATCAAGCTGATTAATGCCTTCTTTCTCTCTCTCTCTCTTGTCGAAAAGGATTGATTGGGGGTTGCGCGAGTGTTTTCTTTTCTTGATTACGTCTCGAGATTTTTGCGGTTGATTGATATGTGGACTGACAAACACTCTTCGATCGGGCGCCAACCTCTCGTATCTCCCGTGTCCACACGAGCTTTTCCCTATAACGAGGAAAGGATACGTGTATGCGAGTGGGACGTACGAGAAGCGTTTGCACAAATCGGCAGACAATATTACTTCCCTCCCGAGAATCGTTGCTCTGGGTTTGTGGATGTCGGGTTTGTCATTATTGACACGCACTTTCCACCCTACTCAATTTTGCTCCCCTTTAACGAGTTGATCGTCATTCCGTGGACGGCAGTGGCGCTCCATTGGCCTTGAACCCTGTGCACTGAGTGCCAGCGTTTCGATCGCTACGAAGCAAAGGGCTTCCACTACCGAATACGGAGTGGAGACGAGCATAAGGAAAGAGCCACGCGGCTGAAACCATCCACGTCAGACTCAGAACTGACCAGCGAACGACGTCGGGATTTGATACGAAAACGAGACACGTGAAGCGTGCCAAAGACCTTCTGCTCTAAACGACGGGCCGTAGCAAGGTGGGAAGCTCGACAATACTTTTTGGATTGAATTGGGATTTTTCTTTTTTCGCGCCGTGCCCGCGCGCGCATTCCGCGACGCGCGAAAACAACAGACTTACTTCATTGGACCAACACGGGGGATTTCAGTTCCATCTGTGTCCCCACACTCAATTTCCAAAAATCCTTGGCACACCCCATCTTGCTGTTTTTTTTGGGCCTCTTTCCGCACATCTAGCACTCCGAACGAAAGACAGCACGGGGCGTGAGGTTGCGCGTCACATATCTCCAGAGTCTGTGGGTGGGGGGGGAAGGGGTCTGGGAACTCCTCTGGGGGTCTCATGGGGATGTTGGGGTCTATTGTCAGCCAGTCTTTAAATCTCAAACGGTAGTCCCTTGACACCTCCTCTCCGTTGTTACCCCCCCCGCTCTCTTCTGCTTCCCAGTTCCCGGTCCAGCATACCTCTGCTACCCATCCCTCCCGGTACCCACCCAACCATTCCCTTGCGAATTTCATCAGCCGTTCTCTGGAGTCCTTTGGTCTGTGGAGGTTGTCTAGAGTTTGTTTCATTGCCTTCCATCTGTGTGAGAGGTTCAGTTGGAAGTGTGTTTTGAATTGTTCCACTCTTTCCTCACCTTCTACCCTCACATGGTCTATGGTTAGAACGCATCGTTGCCACCATAGGACCCACAGGATTGTTCGGCGGGACATGTGGAACATGTTTGACACAAAAGTGTGTTCTTGAAAAGGCGGCTAATGGCCCAATAAGATGGCCCGCCAGTCCCATGGCCAGGCATCCCTCCTTACCTCCAATTTACAATTCTTCCTATTTCTCATCTCTCTGTCGGTTTGCTCATTATCTTTCTGCTGCTCCCCCCACCTGCCTTAAATTTCTTTTCTTTTCTTCTTCTTTTGTCTTTACATTTGACTTTTTCAATATTCTTTACAGAAAATTTAAAATTATTATTCTTCTCTCTTCTCATTTATGAATTTCTTTCAAAAAATTTGATTTTCTGCAGCATTTCTCTGTCAATGGCACATTTTGACCTTATGGGGGTAATGAAGTGCTGCCAGAGTTTTCATCTTTTACTTGTCTTCTTTCTTCCAGCACATTTTGATCCCTTGGGAGTAACGAGGTTGGCAAATGTTTCAATTTTACTTCACCAATTTTCTTGCGGGCGGGGTTACCCTCCCGAATGCGAGGGGGGGGTCTCCACCCCTCCTTGAACGTTCGGGCGTCCGGCCGAACGTGAGGGGGCCAGACTTTAGGAGGTTTGGCCCCTGCCAAAAATAATTTACGGGCCTAAAATAAAGATATATGTTTTAATGTTTTTTGTGAATTCTGTAGCATGTAGGGTGTATGCCTAAAAATTTGAAGGCATTTGGCTGTCCCTAAAAAAAAACAAAAATGCCACAGATGGCCATGTCAAAAATGTGCTCCCCAACTCACTAATGTGAGTGTGTCTCTGTGTGGTTGTGTGTGTGTATGCGTTTGAGTGAGAGAGAGAGAGAGAGAGAGAGAGAGAGAGAGAGAGAGAGAGAGAGAGAGAGAGAGAAAGAAAGTCTCACACACACTAATGTGCCGGGTCTTTTTTTTCTATCAAATAATCAATAAATGATCAATCAATCAGTCCATGGATTAAGTAGCTGGTGATCCAAAGTAGAAAATAAAATATATTCTAGGCTACCAGAGTGGCCCGGGACCTTTTGCCCAACCAGGCCCAAAAATATAAAAAATGAAATCAAAGAAAATATTGTTATTTTAAATTTTCTAACAAATTACTTTTTTTCTAGGGAGATTTTCATGCCCGGCTGGGCATCCGGGCGTGACGCCCGGGGTACCTGGTCGTGCAAGATTTTTTTTTTTTTTTATTTTTTTTTTTTTGCCTTTCTGTGCTATCCTCGAGGACCCCAAATCCAGGCTCTTTCCATTTTTTGAGAGTTGGGTGTCAAGCGGGGGGAAGGGGGGTATACATTTTTTTTCAGGGGGCTAAGGGGGTTTAAAGGGGGGTGCCTTAGTGTGATTTTGTTATTTTCTTTTTTGTCTCCGACTCGGTGAGGAATTTCGATGTGACCCTCAGCCAAAAGTTGTTTGTATTGCAATTTTACACACCATATTCTTTTTCTGAGATTTTTTGACTTTACGTTTTTTTTTTTTTTTTTTTTTTTTTTGCGCTGGGGCTGCCCGGAACCCTGCCCGGGGGTCATGCCCGGCCGGGCACCTGGGCGTGTATCCGGGCACAAGTTGGGTGCCCGGGCGCCCGGAAAAACAACCTAGCTTTTTTTTTAATTATAAAACTAAGCTATATTCTTCTCTCAATTTTACCGTTCACTATCTACCTACCCCTACTCCGAAGTCTATACATAGGACCCCTGCAAGCATAGTTACCTCTCACAAATAAGGGGATGCATGTTGCCCCCCGCTGGAATCATCGGTGGTCAGGGAGTAGGGTGCGGTCACTGGTGGAGAGTCCGGCTAACGGAAAGACCAAGCATTTTGCCAGTAGCTGCGCTTCCCATCTACTTCCCCACCCCCCTTTGAGTGGCTGCAGTGGCTATGGCCAACACACTCCCACATGAATTTCGATGTGACCCCAAGGCAAAAGTTTTTTTTTTTTTTTTTTTTTTTGGCATTTGGGCTCGGTCGAACGCATCTTTAAGTGAGGTCGAACGTTCGACCGTTAGGGTTTGGTCATTTGGCCGGACCTGAATACTGACTATCCTGCTTGCAGGCATATTTCAACCCCTTGAGGTAGCAAAAGACTGCCCAATTCTTTTATTTAATTTTCATTCATGGAAATCTCTTTTTCTACTTTTATATATCTTGTAAAAACCACTGCCTCGCTTACTAGATGGGGCGGTAAGAGCGCCAACCCCTAGTAACCTGCCACTAGGCTGGGTGTCCTATTAACTTGGGTGGAGTTAAATGGTCGTTAAAGCCCTTTAATTCCGTACTTACCCCGTTAAATTCCCGTTGAATCAGAAACGGGGGAGCTCTTGCCATTTGTTTTTAACGGATTGGGTCTAAAAGGGTTCAGGCAGTTGTCCCAGCACCCCCACGCCGTCCAACTGAAAAAGAAAAAGAAATCACCTCACCCCCCAAAACAAACGCCCCTAACCTTAAATGCCCCCACCAAGGGCCCCCCACCCCCTTTCCCATCTACGTATGTGAGGATGTGTGTGTTTGTGTGTGTGTGCGTGTGTGTTGTTAAAGCACACCGAATTCTCTTTCTCATTTCCTCCACAAATCATAACAAACCATCCATAATGAAAAAGTATAGATAGACAATATAATGGAAAATGCAAGGTTACATGTGTGTTTGTGTGCATGCATTTGTAAGGGCTCCACACACTCATGCGCGCACACACGTGTCCGACACACCCTTCATGAAAATAAAATATATAAAAAAAAAAACATTACATCTGTTTTTTTCTCTTTGTTTTTATGTTTTTATTTTTTTTTTAAATGTCTAACGTTAAATATATAATATAATATACATATATATAATATACATATATTAATATATATATATATGTTTATTTTGTTTTTTTTGCCTTACTTTTTCCCTGTGGAACAAAATCTCTGTGAAAACAAAAACAAAAAATATTTTATATTTTTATTTCTTTTTTTTTAACTAATGTTTTTTATATGTATGATATTATACTAGCTAAGCGCCCGTGGTGCGGGCGTGCGGGCTATGTCCGTTGAAATAAGAAATGTTGTAGGCAACTTGACATAAACTACTCGCATAAACTGAGACAGACTTAAAAAAAAAAAAAAAAACGAATCCCAGGGTAATAAAGAGAAGTCTAAAACTGACTACGAAGTCCGAGTTTAATTCACGAATTAGAAAAGTAACAAATTAAAAAAAAAAAATTGCAGGAGAAATGGCGAGGAGAGATAGAGACAGACAAAGAGAGAGAAAGCAAGAAAAAGATAGAGATAGAGAGAGAGATGAAGAGATACAAAGAGATGGAGAGAGAGAGAGAGAGAGAGAGAGAGAGAGAGAGAGAGAGAGAGAGAGAGAGAGGAGCAACAAAAGAGCAAAGAATAAAGAAAGTCCAAGTTGAACACGGGTATATAAAGAAAAAAAGTTTCATATTAAGATTTTCCGTTTCATTAAAGTAAGCAAGTGGTCGCAGTATGATCAAGGCACAATTATTGCGTAGTGGAATCAACATTGACTTTCAAAAATGCAATAACATTACGTCTAAATTGTATTTTTTTTTTCTCTCTCTTTTTCCCTCCCCAATTATTTGTCTCTCTCGTCCCATCTCTCTTGTAAGGGTCATTACGTAACCGAAACTTAAGACGACCATCTAAAAATTTGTCATTGAGGCAAAGGCCTGGACGACCGCCCAATCAACATTTCTCTCTTCCTATATCTCTTATAAAACCAATCAACTTCCTTCGCCAGAGCGATACTCATGCAGCACCTCACAAACAGAAACTCGTTGCAACATTTTGTGATGATACTTCTCGAAAGTTCTGAATCGACCCCGTCCTTGCCGATTGTAATCGAGATGATTTACAGCATCTACACACCTCCTAGTGTTCATGCTCGTATTCAATTCCTCTGTTGCTTCCACAATATTTTGAATCCTGTGAGAACTGTCAAAATGAAAAATGAGTGGAAGTATCTTTTTGAGACCAATAAATTCAAAAGCATCATACATGGCAATGTTAAAATTAGAAGGATTTGGTTGTCCCAAGGGTCCTGTATGGGCATGCACATGATTTTTTCATAGTGTAAGAGTGGACACAACACAATTGACAGGAGGCGGAGTAGCCGTAGCGGCCAGCAAAGTAGAAACAACAACARAAGTAGTGACAATCGACGTTGACATGATGGATGGTGAAACGAAATCCGCAAGTTGTTGAAAATTTGGAGGAGATGTTGCTTGAAGGGGGAGTCTATGGATCGGAGCGGAATGAGGAGAGGAAGAAGCAACCGAGGGAAGAATCCTTTTGAGAAGGTTCTGTATCCACTCATATCTGTAAAAGGCCTGAGTAATGGTCCCTGCTGTCGGACAATGTCGCAAATGAATTGTCATCCTAGTAATCTCCTCATTAGAGAGAGCAATGAAATCATCGTTCAAAAACGATTGCAACATAGAAGAATCCCCAAAATTCAAAACATTCAACGAGGCTAAGGAAGAGGGGATCGTCATTCAAAACGCATATTAGTAAGTTTGTTTTGTTTCCAGTTAAGAAAGTTTTTTCATATTTGTCCATCTTTTACGACAGTCGCACTTTCGACAAACATTTCAAAAAACACCTCAGTCAAGACATTTTGCATGCCAACCTTCTTCGCATCGTAAAACCATCCAGCACGGTAAGCGCGCGGATTCAGATGGCGAATTGTGGGTGCATCGTTATCATCGGGCACCACAATAACCCCCGAAGGATTTTGTGGTTGCGATGTGACGCAAACATCTCTTTCGCGTCCACTGCGTTGAGATTGCGAACATGAATCACGAACACGTGCAAGTCCAGCAAACCATCGAGAAAACAGAAGAGATGCAAGTACATTGGAGGGAGCGCATTCAGCGGTTTCACAAACGGAGTTCCGGTTTCATGAACAACAGGTTGCCGTCCTACGTGATTATCAGGGAGGGTAGGCTCGAACACTTTGGGGGAACTCAAAATATTAGTTTTTGCACCACGGCTCCTTCTTCTCTTGAATGTAGATTCAAGATAGTCTTTTTTCGAATCACCAGTAACCTTATCATCTTCGTCACCGGACTCATGCGGGCACACACGTGTCAGACACACCCTGCATGAAAATAAAATATAAAAAAAAAAACATTACATTCAGAAATTTACGTATTCCCATGTACGGGAGTACGTGTACGTGCGTATTCCGGGTAGCACGGTGTACGTGTACGCGGGTTGCGCATACACGCATACACGTATTCCTGTACGCGATACGTACGCGCGTACACGTACTCGCGTACGTGGGAATACGTAAAAAAAAAAAAACAAAGTCATCGAAAAAATATAAAAAAAAGGTATGTTATGCAAAATGATATTTCAAACAACGTTTGCCCGAGACTCATCTCGAAATTCTGTACCAAACTCGAGTTCAAAATCAAAGACACAAAAAACAAATAAATTGAAATAATTAAAAAAAAAACTAGGAAAAAAACACACAAAAATAAAAACAAACTTCTATAACAAATATATGTTATGCAGAAACATGATACAAACAACTTTTGCCTGGGAGTCATCTCCAAATTCCCAACCAAACTCGAGTAAGAAATAAAAAACAAATAAAAAGGTAATATTATCATAATACTAGGTAGCACCACGTACGTGTATGCGGTGCATACGCGTACGTATGCGCGCGTATGCGTACGTATCCGAAAACCAGCATACGCATACGTGGTATTTTTTTTTTTTTTTTTTTTTTTTTTTTTTTTTTAGTATACTACTTGAGTCAAGTACTAAGGTAGAACAGTTGTGAGGAATGTGTTCTCAGGGGCCCCTGGACAACATGCACATGTTCTGGCTCAGAGGCTTGCTGGGGGCCACAGTCAGAAGACTCAGAACTTCTGAGTCTTCTGAATGTGGCCCCCAGCAAGCCTCTGAGTCTTCTGAGTGTGGCCCCCAACAAGCCTTGTATCTGTGCCCAGGCCCGATGCAGATGGGGCCCGAGCAGTATGGGGCCGATGCAGATGGGGCCGATGCATGCCGCCCATGCCCTATCTGAGTGTGGCCCCCAGCAAGCCCAGTATCCTTGAGGCCCGATCAGG